CTTCCGAGTGCAGGAGCACAGACACGAGCAGTTCTCTCTGTGCCTCCTGCACTCTGGAGATGCCGGTCACAGGTGCTGGCGAAACGTTAGGAAACAAAACCTCCAGAACACGGCCACACAGCCCGGAAGACCCACACCAGCCATCAGTGAAATTTTCATTTGTAAGTTAATAGTCATTTAAGCTATCAAACAGTATTTAGTTTTCTCTACATAAAACAAAAATTCTTTTTCTTCTACTTTTTTACAACCAGCTTTTTAATAAACAGTGATGCAAACACAGTTCATGAAGAAAGACACTCCCACTTCCAGAAGTCAAGCACAAAAGATTATTTCATTTTTTTTTTTGTTCAAGCCATTTTATATTTTCTGTATAAGTGGGAATGACATCCACTTATTTCAGCTGCAGATAATTCTACACCATTGCAAATGTCACTCTAAAAGCATCCCCTCAAAACCTACTCCACCATGAAATATAAAACCAAAACATTGTATGTATTTTTCAAAACTGCTTTTCAGCTGAAGTAATAACATTTGGCTATATTCAAGAGTTTTACGAAGCCAATTTTCCACAGAAATTTCGACCACTAGTCCTAGGCTATTATCCCATTCCTCATTTCCTTAGGAGTTAATATTGAATCTCTTGCTTCATACCTGACCTACCCAGAATTGGAGATCAAAACTCTTATCTCCAAGAGCTGGCATATTATGAGTAACCTTTTTTTAACTGACACTTACTCTCTACTTCTTAATGAATACATATCCTGATTCATCTCAAATTGGATCCTACTCTGCGTTCCAAATATAAAACCATTTCTTTGATAAATGCGAATGCTGAAAGCTATCTTCGGATAGTGCACAAGAGCTCGTAGCCCTGGACACAACACATCCAGCTCCAGCTAGACTTGTATGGGACTATCAAGCTTCCGTAACATTGGATTCCTAACTGATACAATCACGTGAACTGAGAATTGGTGGAATTCTGCTGCTTTTACATGTGGGAAGCCGAGCAAATTTTAGTTTTGGGTTGGTGGAACTTTCTGCATTTTATTATGAATTCTCCCAAAGTTTTATATCTTCAAAAGACATGATTTATTTAGCTCCTAGATCACAAGTGACTATAAATGATATTTTGCATTTTTGAAAATTATATTGATATAAAGGATACCTTCTCACTTCCTTTTGATTTGGTCATAGAACCTTCTGCTTGTACTATTAGAAAAATTGAAAATATTAAAGAAATTATTGTAGCCAGGCAGAATAAATGATAATTATGTATGCAGGTGATCTTATATTGTATAATATATCAGAAATATCTATCTCTAATCTTCTTTTCTTAATACAAGAATTTGATATCTTCTCTGGTTACTGCATAAATTAGGATAAATCACACTTGACATTACTGGGTGCTATTGTTATTCGGCCTTTTGATACATTTAGGACTTGCAGTTTTAGAATTGTTCTTATTTATTATTATTTAATATATTTAAATAATATATTAAATAATATATAATAAATATTTAAATTTATTATTATTAAATATTATTATTTAATATGTGATTCTACTGCTCCCTATAAAAAGCACCCTGAACTGGTTTACAAAGTATAAAATGAAAAATACAAACTAAAAACAATTCAATCACCATATATTGTATACTAAAAATGAAGGCAGAAGTTTTTAAAAAAGGGAGGAGAAGTAGAAATATATTCATTCAACTTTCATCTAGAGAGGGCCTGTATGAAGAGATAGGCCTTCAAGGGACGTCTAAAACAAGTACAAGAGATTCCTGAAAAATGTCAAGGGAGAGAACATCTTTCTTTTGGTATGAGTCCTAGAAAGCATTCCCAACTAGTAAATATGAATTTAACTTCAATTTTGGTCATGAACAAACATGATCTAGATTGACTGTCCATAACTCCTTCGTGTATTTGGAACAAAATAAATATACCTGAGATATTGAATTCCACTAATTTATCTTTTAAGAGACTTTCCTATTTTTATTCCTTTACATTATTTAATATAAATGTATTCAGTTATTAAATCATATTCTTTCACAAGGTCATTCTTTGAGATTCTCACTGCATAAATTACATCTCCTAATGGGAAAAGTGGATTTAATTTTCTGCATTTCAAGACTTATCCCTGGCTACTTATTTTTGCTTTGACTATATGCTGGAATATGGAATTTCAAAGTTCAGCTCCTCTTAGATTCAACTCAAGGATTATTATTTAACCACACTGAAATGTAGGCAGGTACCTGGGTTTATTTAAGAATTGGTTTCAATACTTCTATATAATTGATAATTGAACAGAGATATCGATACTGTGATATAGGAACAGCTCTGATCCCCTTACCCATAAAAATTTGACATTATAGTATAATGTGGATTTAAGTACAGCTGATAATTCTTTTAGATCTCTGATAATATTATAACAATGAGGTTCTGCTGAAAAACTTTTATTTTTATTCTTTTTGTAAAACTGAAAACTAAGTGCTTCTTGGCAGATTATTCAACTTAAACATTTGCATTTAGTTATTCTGTATTTTTATTTGTTCTGTGATTATATCTGAGTACAGTACAAGACCTAGTTTATATCTGGATTCTATATCATTACAGCCTCTGGGATCCCATACTTGTTAAATTTTTGAAAGTGTTAACTGAAGCTTCTATGCTTATAGGTCATCTTGGTAAAAAACTGAAAGAAGCAGATAAAACTGATTCTATTCATGCAATCTTTGGAATGACAAGTTTGAATGTACTGTCAAAGTTAGAAATGGTTTTTACAATGTAACATCAAAGATCATACAGGAAAACACTGTCCTAATGATTAGTCCAAACAGGACAAACATTTATGGATCCTCAACCTTGGCATGGTTAAGGATGAAGTAGGATCTCTAAACATGCAGATTTTACTTGCATACAAGCAAGCATGACCAGAATGCCCTGTCACTCAACACAGCTAAGTTTAAGACTTAGGCAATAGGGCTTGCATTTATGGAGAAACTGTGAGCCAGGAACCTTACACCTGTTAAAAATACCTGTCCTAGTCCTAGCATTCTCTCTCTCTCTCTCTCTGTGTACACACAAAATAGCACAGAATAAGAAAGTTATGGCTTAAATAATTGGCTATAATTACTGATTTAAGAAACTACCAAAGTTGTCTATTTAGTCTAGTCATCATAAGTAATAGT